CTTGGTGAAGAAGTCCAAAGTGATGTCCCCGCTGCCTCTGCTCTCCTGTTCCCATCACTCTGCCGTGTGTCTGCTGTGGCCACTGACTTTTTTGGTTACTCAAGGCCCCTTTGCCTCTCTGTACACTAGGATCTGAGGCAGGAAGCAGCCCCATCTAGCCTACCTCCCTCCCTCCAGTGCAGAATTTCTCTGCTGCATATGCCCAGTGACAGGGAGCTTGTTACTTAAGAGGCAGCTGTTCGGTGTCCTGCAGCTCTTGTTTCATTTAGCTAAAATCCCTGGCTGGCAGATTCCACCTGTTGGTTCCACATCTGCCTCCTGGAGCTATAGGGAGTAAATAAATCCATTTTTCCATTCATTCGAGCAATCTTCATTGATGCACTGGATGAGACACTGGGGATATAGCAATGGAAAAAAATCTGACAAAACTACCTGCCCTCATGGAGTGGACATTCTGGAAAGAAAAGCAATGAGATGAGTAAATTCGCAGCATGTCAGGTGGTGAGAAGTGCTATGGGGAAAAATAGCAGGGACCAGTGTGGGGACCACTGCTGTCATTCTGGGGAGAGGCCATGGGAACTTGCACCACGGCATGGAGGTGGTGAAAAAAAAATCTGTGATTTTCAGATTGGAGATATTTTGCAGGTTGGGTTGATAGGATTTGGGATGCAAGAGAAAGGTGGAGTCAAGGATGACTCAGGTTTTTGGATTGATCATCTGGAAGTTTGGAGCTGCCGTCAGCTGAGATGGGAGCCATTTAGGGGGAGGTTCAGGAGTTTGCTTTTGTGCTTGTCAAGTTTGAGATGCCCATTAGGCATCCAAGTGATGTTGAGTAGGCACTTGGTAAGAATTTAACGGGGAGGTTGGAGCTGGCAGTAGAATGTTGGGCAGCATGAAATAGCTGTTATTTAGAGCCGTAAGAGCAGGTGGGCCCACTTAGAGAGCGAGTGATAGGGAGAAGAGAAGTCCAACCATCAAGTTCTGGGGCCCCCAGCATTAGGAACCAGCAAAGGAGACAGAAAAACAGCCAGTGAGGTGGGAAGAAAAAGAGTCCGGGTGTTCTGGATGGCGGTGAGGAAAGCACTTCAAGGAGGAGGAGGAGGGAGCAATTAGGACCAATGCCTTTGGCAGAGCAATCGCCATGTGGGCTGGGAACTGACAGCTGAGTAACACGAGGGAGGTCCGCTGGTGGCCTTGACAAAGCAGTCTGGGGGAGAGGACCCTATTGGAGGGGATGGCAGGGGAGAACTTGGAGCAGCAGTACAGGCAACAGACAAGGAGACCTGCTGTAAAGGGGGCTGAGAAATAGGATTGGAGGGCTGGCCCTGTGGTTCACTCGGGAGAGTGTGGCGCTGGTGGCGCTGTGGCAGCGGGTTTGAATCCTATATAGGGATGGCAGGTTCGCTTACTGGCTGAGCGTGGTGCGGACCACATCATGCTGAGGGTTGTGATCCCCTTACTGGTTAAAAAAAAAAAGGATTGGAGCCATAAGGGGAGGGGAGTCAAGAGAGGGCTTTGCTTTTACTTATGATGGAGAAATTACAGTATGTTTGTGCACTAGTGAGAACTGTTCTCTTAGAGAGAGAAGCTCAGTGAAGGGGAAGGAGAATGGAGGACGGTTGGGGGAAGGGAAAGGGATGGATCCGGTGCCACAGGGGAGGCTTGGCCCCACCTAGGACCCAGGACAGTTCAGAAATTGGGCTTTCCTGGGCCTCCGTCTCCTGTCTGTAGGGGGCCAGTCGGCTGAGATTCCAGCACCTAATCAAAGCAACTGGCTCTTGGCCCCAGAGAAAGCAGGCTGGCTATGGTCTCAGGAAGGAAGGAGGTGTCAGGGCTCAGGCCTGGGCTTGGGGATAAGGGAGGGCCCATGTGGGTCACCCCTTGACCCTCTGATTTAGCAAGGCAGTGCCCCTTTCTCTGTATGGGCCTCACCTTGGAGAGGGCAATAGTGACTCTGAAGTTGTAGTAATTGAAGTAGAGAAGAAATAGCAATGGAGATAGATTGATGTATTTAGTCGGAAGAGGGGAGGTCTGACCAGGCAATAAAGGGGCAAGAGGTAGGATTTTAGGGACAGTTTTATGAAATAGGTGATGAATGAACATCTCTGTGTTTTCTGTCTCTCTACCAATTTAAACTGAAGCAGGAGAAACTTAAGCTAGATATAATGAGGAACTTCCTGAACTGGTGAACTTCCTGAGCTGGTTAGTCAGGACAGCACCAAAGCCAGGTCCTTCTTCCCAGATGTTTAAGCTGAGATAGGGCAATGCCTACTCAAAGACAGGGGGCTGGCTAAATTGGTCCTTGGGGAGTCTCCCTGCTCTGAGGTTTCTGGAAGAAGGCCCGGGAAGAGATGGGACTTTCCAGCTGCTGGTGTGAGGACAGAGTGCCAAGCCTTGTGGCTTGGGCTTGCCTTTCCCTCTTGGTGTCCACAGAACCCTAGTGTCACTAGCTGGTGTGTATGACTTGAGCAACTGTCAGGCTGCCTCACTTACCTGCAGCTTGTCCCCTTGTGGGCGAGCACATCTGGTGGTGTGTCTCATGTCCCCAGTGGGGTCTTTCAGTGAGGTCATGGTGGATTCACCAGGCTTTGTGCCAGAACTGCTGAGAATTACCTGGCTCTGGTGGCCTGGTTGGCCAACTCTTGCTTCCGTTCCATCCTTTCGGGATTTTCCCTGGAGGTGAGGTCTGTGGACAGATCTAGACCTGCCAGTCCCGTGCCGCTGGGCTCTTGTCTTCCTGCTCAAGACCTGCCCACAGATGGCTTTGCCATGCCTGCTGCCCCAACCCTGATGAGCTTTGGCGGGTGGTTTGTGTGCATGTGTGTTTGTGTCTAGGCTCTCCTGATGAGAAGGAAGGAGTAGGTGTCCCTCCTCAGGCAGCCTCTGGGTAAATGGAGCAGGCATTGTCCTACTGCAGCTTAACTTTCAGCCTTCTTTAATTCCTGGCTGTGCATATACTTGCCAGTCCTGGGGTCAGAGGGAAAGTGCTGACCCATTTCTGGGCTGTTCTCTGAGGAGGGTGGATTGTTAGTTATTTTCCCCAGGATCTGGACAAGGGTTGCCGTGGGGGCTGCTGTTGTATTCTTGGCTGGCATTTCCACAGCTGAGAACCACTCCAGGGTCAAGCCCAGAGCTCATCCTACCCACTTCTTGTCCTCTCCTCCCCCACCTTCCCTTCCCCCCACCCCCTGGCCCTTGGCTGGTCTGCTTTGATGCGGGCACAGACAGGAGGAGACCTGTTTGGCTAGGGAGAACTACTTCAGTTCCTGGTTTACAGCAGCTTCTGCCATGGAGACAGAAGCCCTCACTCCCAAGATGCTAGACACAAAGGTAACCTCACTGCCTCAGTTTCCCCATCTGACCAGCACAAGGCCTCCAGTCTGTATATTGGCAGCTTTCTGAGTTGGAGATTTCTCCTTTTGTTTACCTTGGCTGCCGTATGAGGATGGACACAGAGTGTTCCAGCCTCTCCCCTCCCTCAGTGGATTTTTGATTCATGAACGCTCCCATGGTGCCACCTCTGTGCCCAGCGCTGGGCCAAGATTAGGGATGCCAGGATGAGCGAGACTCAGGCTCTAACATAGGCCAAGCAGGGAGTGAGACATTAAAGCATCCAACAAGAAAAATACAAAATCCCCAGGCTTCTTGGTGATTGCTCCCTTGTGTGTCTCGGAATGTCCCCGATTTATAAAAGGGAGCAGACTTTCCTCTTCTTTTTCCATGGCTACGCCCTTTCACTTTCATTTTCTCTGGGCAGTTCACCAGCCTTTGTGTCTGGACCCTGTGACAATTATAGAACTGACTAAATTGAGAGATTTTCTCTGCTGCTCAGGAACCTTCCCAGGCCTAGAAGCTCCTGGAGGCCACTTCCCCTCAAGTGCCCAGAACCCAGAGTCTGCGGGGTGAGCCCATAGTAAGTCATTGACAACAGCGGCAGCTGTAATGCGTGGTGGTGAGGGCTGGGACAGAGGTGGGGGCCTAAGGGCAAGTGCGCGGGGAGCGTGTTGACAGGGACAATGCACTAGTAAGCTTTGAACTAACTTAGTTTGCACTGTGATTTTTCACTTCACCTTGATTGCGATCTTTATGGCAATGTTGTGGGTCTACCCGTTGAGGTAGCAGTGGATTATATGCACAGGGATGGGCCCAGGCCCGTACGGTGAATGCTATAAATATAAGGGAGTAAAAGGCTTGCATTCTGGGGTTGTAGTCCTTGGGTTCAAATTCTAGCTCCACTTTGTCTAGCTGTGACAGTTGTACAAATCACTTAGCCTCTCTGTACCTCAGTTTCTTCATGTGTAATATGGGGCTGATCGTAGTGCCTACTTCAGAGTGGTTGGGAGGGTTAAATGAATTCATACAGGAAAGCGCTTAGAATGGTGCCTGGCACGTAGTAAGTGCTTAATAAACAGTAGCTATTACTGAAGCTGCTGTGGCCTGAATCTAGCCAGCATGGAAGAGCCCTCTCACCCTGCCTCGAAGAGATTGAATTCCCTGATCCCTTGGGAGACAGGTGCTCCTAATATTAGCTCAAGCCTTTCAAAACTTCTTAAGCCAGGGATGAAGCATAGATATGTGCTGACCAGATGGGAAAACTGAGGTAGCAAGGTTACCTTTATGTCTGGCAGCTTGGGAGGAAGGGCATCTCCACAGTGGACACTGCTGTAAATCGGGAACTAAAATAGTTCTCCTTGGCCAAGCAGTTCTCCCTGTGCCCACATTCAAGCAGAGGAGCCAAGAGTGGGGTTGGGGGAGTGGGGGAGGAGAGGACAGGAAGGGGTAGGATGATTTAATTCTTGGCTGCTTCAAACTCTCTGTGGGGCCGTGAGCTGGTTTCCTGCTTTCTCCGGGCCTCAGTTTGCACATCTGTACAATGCAGAGCTTGGGTTGGATAATGTCTGAGGGCAGAACGGTGGCTGACTTGGACCTGGGGAGGGGCTGACCTGCTTGGCTTCTGGAGAAGTCCTGTACTGACCTTGCTCTCCTCCCCAGGTTGTGAAATGTGCTCCCAGGAGGCTTTTCAGGCACAGAGGAGCCAGCTGGTGGGGCTGCTGGTCTCGGGGTCCCTGGAGGGCTTTGAGAGCATCCTGGACTGGTTGCTGTCCTGGGAAGTCCTCTCCTGGGAGGACTATGAAGGCCTCAGCCTCCTGGGCCAGCCTCTCTCCCACTTGGCTAGGCGCCTCCTGGACACTGTCTGGAAGAAGGGTGCTTGGGGCTGTCAGAAGCTCATTGCAGCTGTCCAGGGGGCCCAGGCTGACAGCCAGTCCCCCGAGCTGCATGGCCACTGGGACCCGCACTCACCCCACCCAGCCCAGGACCTGCAGAGTCACCGGCCAGCCATTGTCAGGAGACTCTACAGCCACGTGGAGGGCGTGCTGGACCTGGCGCA